AAAGCTTATCTTTCCAAATGGGGGGTCTTGTCATGTTTTTGCTCCAAGCAGAACTTGCCATGTACTCGCCTGTAATGGAAGATATAAATACAGTAGGAGATCAAAATTGAAACATTCGGGAATTCGAAGAGGTGGTGACTTTCACGAACGCATTCTTCCTCATCAGCTTACCATAGAAACTTCTCAGAGGTTGGCCTCGATGCTTGACTCCAATCAATGTAAGTAAAGCTTAGGCAAACGTACGAAATTGTTCAAAATCAAGGTATTGATGTGAATGGCAACGTTTTTCAAATGAATAGAGCTTTGTGGAACTTCTGCCTCATCATTCACCGTCATGAGGTGAATCCAGAAACTTGAACATGTGAACTTGACTAACTAGCTACTCTAAGATGCTTATTGCAAAATAACAACACCGTTTGACATATGACGACGAGAATGTGTTCAAAACATTTCAAAAAGTTCTAAACATGGGTAGAAACGAGAGGATATCGCGTTCATTTTGTTATTTATTGGCCTTATTCAGTTATGTAATGGTGCCATGATATGAACACGCAGACAGGCAATTAAATATCAAACCTCGGGTATAGATCATTTTCAGCATTTGCCCGTAAATGCGCTCAATTTTCGCCTGTAGGTCTAGTTCAGTAGAGAGAAGACTCTTTTCGTGGTAATGGTCTCACTAAGATAGGCTTAAAGGTATGAAAGGCAAGTTCTATCTAATACTAGGATATCTCGTGAGAAGTAACGTACACTAATTGTCCGTGAAAGCTCCCACAAACAGCCAAAAAACAATAAGCAGTGGTTATTCGCCTATTAACGACAGACTTCACTGGAATTTGGGCAAGATTAGTAGAAATCGAATGCTATAAAATTCACACCACGGATGGGGTTGTTAAGTATGTTTGCAAACCGCTTTTAATATCTCTTTGGTTAAAAAAGGTTTTGTGAACGGATAACGGGATGTGGGAGGTAATTTGGAGCTTCCTTGAAACAAGACCATTTTCCCTTATCGTACGCCTTGTTCAATATTTATCAAGCTTGAAAATCTCTGGCTCCCATTTCCTGAAAGATATAAGATCGAATAGTGAACTTCTTCCGGGAACGTCATTGTATTAGGCCTGTCCCGATAGCGCTCGTCAAGAAAATGCTGGAAAGTTGCTCACTGGAAAGCGATAAAGTGGTTAAAAAAACTGCCAAAAGCCAAAAATTTGCTTGATATTTCCTTATAAACGTTAATTTAAAGCTTTATTTTTCTTAGGAGACGAACTTTATTAGTTTGTCTCACGATAGAGTCACTTCGGATGTTGATCGCGACGTTTCGACTGCAATAATACTAGTCTTCATCAGGCAATGAGGTCGATTGTTTACGTGTCGCTATTTGCAGCACGATGGTTCGTTGCTATTGGTGCATTTCGATCTGCATTATTATTCCGGTTGTTGGATGGTGTTTCCTCTTGGGTCCTCATTGGTCGGCTGTTATGTTGTGTGAACTTCCCGAAGCTTGGGTACCCAAGATCAAACACAATCATTGGTAATGGCTTAAAAGACAATTTCAATTGTAACGATAAGCCTATTTATTACTTAAACATAAACCGAGCAGTTACATGTTCAAAAGATCGAAGAAATAACTGACTACATCCCGAATGCGCATACCGTTATATAATCATTAGTGGCGCGCTCATTGTGATAAATTCAATTGCTAGTGCCTATGTCCGCCGCTTCTAGATAGCCAGGTAATTTATGTCGGCTTACTTTTAACAGTATTTCGTCACAATGATCTGCTATGGTAAAGCGGTAACCACTTACTTACTTACCAGGTGACGGAGGGCAAATTTGTGTAAGCACAGAAGAGGGGGGGGAGGGGGTTAAACTCTCTGACATACTCAAGCACATTCGCGCTACATCAGTCCAAGATAAAAGCTGAAGTAAAACTTCAATAACTAATTCACAATTCAAAACTTCACGCACTTTCACACTTATCGCTCGATTATAAAAATATAATTACTCGTCTGTATATTTTCAATCTAGTCTTTATGAAAAGCTAGATATTTCGTGCTTTTGTCGCTCGAACCAAAATAACGCTCCCACTGTAACTTAATTAACATTTAAGATTTTAAACACCCTCGCGCTAGTATCATACCCTCGCGCTAGTACCATACATTGGCATAAGTTCCCTCTGGGTTCGGCCCTAGTCAGTCTTATCCGTTCTCTAGGCTTCCTCTCCAGTTCTTTGTTCCTTTCTCGGTAAAATAAAAGGTTTACGGTCAATCTGTCACCACAGCAAACTAACTGCATGAAATTTACATCAAATAAAAGTAGTATATTGTATAAGATGTAGTAGTATATTGCGACATTTAAAGCGGAAGGAATACAGCGAAGTTTACAGAAATGGACTTGGCGTCCTTTCTTTGTTACTGTTTGGCTGCAATTAAGATAGAAAAATTAACTGGGCTCCTTTGGCTGAGAAACGGAAGAAAATCAATATCCCCAGAAAAATAGGGACATTTGACAAAAGCACAAAAGGTTTTCATCCTTTAAGGATTTGATATTCTTTTTGAAAAAAAGTTGAATTGATTTTAGCCTAAGACATCACTATTTTATTCAATTTGAGTTTACAGAGCGTGTTAAAAAATCATCTTTATCGCGATTCTCAAAACTTCTATGTCAAAATAAAAGAGGGTAAATCTCAAAGTGCTTTTTCAAAATTACATTTCCCACTGATCAGTTGAGATTACGGCTACGATTACATGGAATAGTTTTCTATTTAAGAGTATGACAATAGGTTTGCAACTAGTAAATTTTTAAGTACAGATTTTCTAAATTAAGAAATCTGGAAAAGTCAAACTTTGCCGTGGTATAATTGATAAAGCAAAAGCGAAAAACCGTAAAAGTCACCGATCAGCAGACCATAAACTAAGACTTAAGGCTCAATCAACTATTTCAATGATTCAATCGACCATTACGTATTATGTTTATCTCAGTTTACTTCAAAACATTTTTATCGCTTTCTGTCAACCTGCTTCTTAACATTTAAAAAATGAGCATGGTAGCGTCTACTTTTCTGGTTCTCGGTGGTGAACAACACTCTAATATTACGATAACTTGTACAAACAGCAGCACATATCTCTAAAATGATCAACTAAGCCATTGAAAAGTCGATGAATTTTTTAGAGAAGAAAACTTGTCAGCAGTATTTACGATCTCAATATAATAGTGCCACACCAGAAAGATCCATGGTAATTTCCATGTAATACTCACCGCTCTCGCGCACACGAAACAATATCAATCATTATTGAACAAATTAAACGGGTACATAGAAATTTCCATGTATAAAACCCATTCACGCGTAAAAAAAAAATTTAAAACACTCTTGGCCAAAACAGGTCCATGGAATTTTCCATGTACATCTACTGCCCATTCGCGTAGACAAAACAGTATCAAACATTCCTAATCAAAACGGGTACATGGAAATATGTCCCACGCTCGTGACAAAACGAAAAAATCTCTCTTTATTTCTTTACCAAACTCAAAACTTACCATCTCTAATTTATATCTACAAACATTACTCTATCGACATTGCTGATCCTAGCAGTATGCAGGACGCGTGTCATATGAACTTCGTAATAGACCACGCTCACCTTGGAGTCTCTGTGGCCTAGTGGTAAAGCATCGGAGCGCGGAATCCGAAGGTCTGAAGAAAGACATCTTTCTTTAATTTTTGGACATGTTTATAACTACTGAGATAACAAAATGTAACATACCTGTATTCAATTGTTTTGGTCCAAACATACTTAAAATGGACTCTGAACACTTGTGTAGATACCAATGTTTAATTTCTAGTAACATGTTCATTAAGTCAAGATGAATCTAGACGTATCAAGAAGTTTCCATAGATCCACAAATGTCTAGTAATGTGCATGGTTTGCTGTAAGATGCTTGATCATGTTTGATCCAGACAAGTAAATGGAAATTTGCGTAGATCTTCCAGTAACATGGCAAAATGTAAGATGTTCAGTTATAATTGATCCAGACGTGTGCATGGAAATTTCCAGAGATCTTCTATTAACATGGTAAAATGTAAGATGTTCAGCTATAGTTAATCAGACATGTGCATAGAAATTTCCATAGATTCCAGTAACATGGCAAAATGTGAGATTTTCAGTTATAATCGATCCAAACATGTGTTTTGAAATTTCCATAGATCTTCTATTAACAAGGTAAAATGTAAGATGTTCAGTTATAATCGATCCAAACATGTGTATTGAAATTTCCATAGATCTTCTATTAACATGGTAAAATTTAAGATGTTCAGTTATAACCGATCCGGACATGTGTATTGAAATTTCCATAGATCTTCTATTAACATGGCAAAATATGATATGTTCAGTTATAATCGATCTAGACATGAGCATGGAATTTTCCATAGATCTGCTTGTAACTTGGTAAAATGTGACATGATAATTTACCGCTTTTGGTTCAGACATCTTTATGGAAATTCTGCAGATACATTTGTAAAATTCTCTGCAAAATCGTTGTCAAATGTTTATATTTTGTTTAGCATATCTAAAGCATGTATATGTTTCTCTATATATATTTCTGATGACTTCCTATCTATATTGAAAAAGTTGTTTGAATCAATTCAACTATGGAGCGGTTTTTATTTACTATTAAACTTTCTTTTCTTCCATATTGTTAAATGTCCTGGTCAAGAATATATAGTGTAGAGTACATGTTACCCAACATACAATGATGTGGCAAAGAAGCTTCTCTCAGATTGTGGTTTTTTAACCAAATTTTCTTTACTACAGAAAATCTGCACTAGCTTAAAAAAATTATGCACTTTAACTGTAAGTATAATCATCTCGTGGTAACTTTCACAAAACGCTTTTTCACCTTTGTATTTGTGATGCGAGGAGCTTACAGTTGACGGTCTGTGTTCTGGCTTAATTCATGTTGTCCATCCTATGTTGGAGTGCAGTGTTAGCTTTTTTTAACAGGAGATGACAAGGCACGGCTATGACAAGATCTCACAAGACGACGAAAAGGCTCCGCAAAAAGTTGGCTTTGCTTCTTATGTTCTCTTCCAATGGATGAGCAGTGTCTTCAAGACAGGCAAACATCGAGCGTTGGAGCAAAGTGATTTTTTACCTCTTTCAAAAGAAAATCGTACTTCATTCGTAACCGAAAATCTTCAAGAGAACTGGAGGAAGGAAAAGAGAAAATGCCATGAAACTGCGCGAGAACGACCAAAGCTTTGGAAAAGCGTTATAAGAACAATCTCTTTTAGGGAAGTAATGATCCTTATTTGCATGAGTATTTTTCGCTCATTCCTCCGTATTCCTCAACCTCTGCTCCTTGGATATCTAATTTCATCGCTGATGTCTACTGAGCCACAGCAGAAAATTTTCCTCTATGGCTGTGCGCTGGCTCTTGGTTTCAGCGCTTTGATGGAGAAACTGTCATCTCAAACGCTTATGTACAGATGTGAATTATTGGGAATAACCCTGAGTAGTGCTTTGAATGGTCTTGTTTATCATAAGGTAGGTACATTTGCTTCTGTGAATTGTAGAGGACGTGCTAATTCAGTCGAGAAGCGAAGGTCTGAATAGAATCATTGTTTTCGTAAAAACGCACACAAAAAAAATGAGGATTAGCCCTTACTACGAGCCAGTTTTTGTTTGGTTTGATAACGACCAAAATAAAGAGGCAAATTCCATTCCAAAAATAAACATAACACGATGAACAACTTCATGCTGGTGAGTGAAAGTCGACATTCAGTCCGAAGTAGCCAAAACTGAAACGTTTTCACGTATATTTTAAAATGTTTACATAAAAGAGGCGAGCGAAGAAAGAGATCAGTAGCTGCTAAGATCGACTTGAGCGAGGCTGTTTTGTAAAATGTGCCGTCTTGTTTTCTCGCGGACGTGTAAAAAGATTTAGGGTAATTAGATATCTTCGATGGGTGTTTTGAATTTGTCCCTACAGAGACGTTTTTCAGAGCTACTCAGAAAGGTCAGTGTCCCGAATCAAGTGGGTTTTCGGGGGGATATGTGATTCGCACTTTCTATTAACAATGGTGATAATCTATTTCTATTAACAATGATGATTTTTACGCCATTGTTTCACGGCTCGCTCGCATAATTGACCGTATGTGTTGGAATGAAGCTGTAAACTCGGAGCTACTATATAAGCTCATAACATGAATGCGTTTTGCCAATCGGAAGGCTTGAAATTCAATAACAGTGCTCCAGTTTTTACTAGAAAGAAATCGTTCCTCTTTTCCAGACACTTTTTCTCAGCAAAGACGGATTGTTCCAGTACACAACAGGTAAAGTGATTGACCTGGTTTCAAACGATGTCCAGCGATTGGAAGGAGAGACTATCAAGTGGATCTTTTTTGGTTTCTTTACATTAATTGAGCTCCTCTTTATCCCGTTTTTAATGGTGTATTTCATTGGCTGGCAGTCTCTCATGGGAGTACTTTTTTTGTATCTTCTCCTTCCGTATTTCGTCTTACTGTCCAAAGAGGGTGCTGTTCTGCGCTTGCGTACAGCAGCGGTCTCTGACCAACGCATCTCTCTAATGAATCAGGTTGTTTTAGGGATACGCGCTATCAAAATGCATGCGTGGGAAGATGAGTACCGGCAACAAATCAAGAAATCACGAAGGTATTTAAAGATATTATGAAACTGATAGTTGTGTGTTAAACCCAAGTTTCATGCAGGCTGTTTAATGTGCTCTTAAATGAAGTAATGTTATTCTTGTTCTTACTCGATGCCAATTTTACTTTTGGCCGAATGCAACCAAGCCTATTTCTTATTTAACAGCCCATCATTTCCATATTTCGTGCGAAATGAGTTATTATGCATGATCTTAGTTATTTTAGATGACACACATTCCATATATATATTGAACCAATAAGATCGCCAAGAACACCAAGACCATTAGGTATGTATGTCATAGACCAAACCGTTGTCGAAATATCCCATTTTTACTTCTCTTTTTTTCCAGAGATGAAATTACCATTATTCGAAAGATGTGCGCACTTCGCGCGGGTGTTTTGGCCCTAAGATTCACTTCAATCACCATTGCAACACTGTTCTCAGTCATAACCCTTGTGCTGACCGAAGAGACTCTGACACCATTCAACGTTTTTGTGTTGATTTCATTCAACAACATGCTCGGCACTTACCTTGGGTTTGCCTTGTTAGAGGGATACGAAGCTTATGCCTCGCTTGCTAGAATTCAAGAATTTCTCCTTTTGAAGAATTTGCGAGTCACTTCAAGCGATCGTTCAAGCCAAAAAGAAACAGAAATTGAAGATGAAAACCCATCTGAGATGAAGAGGAGTTCAGAAGATTCCCAAAAAACAGTGGGAGGTGCTTCCACTGCTGATGAATTACAAGATCAAAAGACACTACGAGTAAGAAATTTGGCGCACAAGCAAATGGATCGGGAAGACTCCTACACTCTTCAAGATATCGAGTTTTGCACACCTGCAAGTAGTTTAACAGTCATTACCGGGTCAGTTGGTAGTGGGAAATCCACTCTTCTTTCTGTGATCGCTGGTGAAGTTCTATGCACACACGGAGAAGTATCCTGCCGAGGAACTTTAGCGTATGTTCCGCAGGCGGCTTGGGTATTCTCTGGAACCATACGAGACAACATTTTGTTTGGTTTGTCATACGATGATTCAAAATACACTAGAGTAATTGAGGCCTGCGCTCTGACTGATGACATCCAGCAGTTTCCTGATACTGATCAAACACTTGTCGGCCAACGCGGTGTCGTTTTAAGTGGAGGCCAGCGGGCAAGGATTAGTCTAGCACGCGCAGTGTACGCTAATGCAGATGTGTATCTTTTGGACGATCCTCTGAGCGCCGTGGACTTCAGAGTTGGACAACATATATTTGAAAAGTGTATTAAACAACTATTACGCAATAAAACTCGGATGATGACCTCTCATCACGAAGACCACATGAAAGACGCTGATGAAGTGATTGTGTTGTGTAAGGGGCGTGTGCTGGAAAAAGGAAGTTTTCTTGAGTTGCAAGACAAAGGAATCCTTAGTAACACTATTGACCCGCTCTACAAGAAGATTTCAAAACACAATACAGATGAGAAGTTTGTAAGAGAGGAAGAAAATGAAAGTGTTGGAGCTGCCGTCTGCTTCGCTGGGATGGAATCTCCGTCGAAAGAAACCAGGAGTCTTCTGATGCCAAAAGAAGATCGGGAAATCGGAGTAATTTCTTCCAAGCTTTACTGGAGCTATTTAAGAAGCGGAATGTCTTATTGGATGATTTTGGCAATAATCCTTTTCTCCGTAACAGCCCAGGGTAAGACTTAAAAACAGCCTCTCAGAAAGAGCTTGTCATGATTGCACAAATTTCATTTTAGAGTCCAAAGTAATCCAAGACTGCATTGCATTTACAGCATGCTTTACATCTCTCTGTAATTAGAGGGTGTAAATGGGGTTAACTGTTAGCCGTAAAACGGCCAAAAAAGGCTGTTAGGCGAAAAACTTGACAAATTTGAGCTTTTAGAGGTAAAAATCTTTCCTTTTTCCAATGTGTCATCTTGTGTCATGTTGCCCTAAGCAATTCTAACTATTGGCCGTAGAGGCCCAATCCCATGGAGACCCTCTAATTATTAGAGAAAAATATTTCTGGTCTCTAAATGAAAAAGCTGTGCAAGCGGGCAGAGGTCTTTTCTATTTATCCCATCGTGGAAATTTTAACATTCCCATCTGATATTGACCTACTGACAAGGATAAAAAAAATATTGAATTTGTTCCGATTTGAAATAAATTGAATGCAAAAATTGTTTCGTCATATATTAAAGTTCACACGGCAACCAGGTGGACAATCAGACATAGTTTGATGTACTCTGGTTTGCAGATTTAATGAATGTAACCGAAGAAGTTACGATTCATAGATCCAACGTTTCGACACTCCTGTCTAGTGCCTTCATCAGGGGTGATCTAAACGCTGCAACAAGAGGTCCTTTTATATGATCACTAATTAACAGCCTTTTTTCTGACGAGGTGTAAATAGGCGTCAGGAAGCAAACCGCCATCGTCACGATTTAAAGGAGCGTGGGCGGAGTTAATATGCCAAGCCTCCAAACAAAGGCGCTGGTGGTAACGCCGAGTAGTGGTGATAATTTTAGAATTATCCCACCCAATTGAATGGTTGGTTAGGCATGTATGCTCCGATAAAGCTGAATTTTCCTTTTTGCAAAGAAAAACCGCTTTGTGATGCTCTTTTAACCGTGTACCAAACTAACGTTTGGTCTTTCCGATGTATTCGTTGTCACAGTCATTGCAAGGAATAGAATAAATGGCGTCGGTTCGCTGTTCTTTCGTGACAGGATCCTTAGGTTTGGCGAAAATATGCCCCAAAGTCTGAAAAGGTTTTTGAGCAACTTTAACGTTGTGGCTATTCAAAATTCTCTTGATGTGTTCCGTAACACCCTGTATGTAAGGAATAACAGCAAAACCAGTCGCTGGTTCCCTTTCATCAAGAGCGTTACTATTTGTAACTGGTTTTTGCCAGTTACGGAGAAAAGTTTTTGTATAGCCATTTGCCTTTAGGACATTGGAAACATATTTCCTCTTCTCAGCCTTCGAATGGAGTGAAGATGGCCGACAGTCAGCCCTCCTAAGTAAAGTTTTGGCTACAGACTTTTTATGGTAAATAGGGTGGTGAGAATCGAAAGCGAGGTATTTGTCGGTGTGGGTAGGTTTACGGTAGACACTTGTCTCTAAATTACCCTGAACCCCTCTGGACACATTTAAATCAAGAAAGGGCATATGTCTATCCTTTTCACGCTCAAGGGTGAATTGGATCGACGGCTCTATTGAATTCAAATGCAACAAGAGGCGCTTCGCTTCATTCCGGGATACCGCAGAAATAACATCATCGACATATCGTTTCCAGAAAAAGGGTTTAACCAATGAAGTGGCTAAGGTCCTTTGTTCCACGTCTTCCATTACCATGTTAGCAATGACAGCAGAGACGGGCGAACCCATCGCTGTACCAAAAACTTGTTTGCTTCCTGACGCCTATTTTCACCTCGTCAGAAAAAAAGGCCGCTAATTAGTGATCATATAAAGGACCTCTTGTTTCAGCGTTTAGATCACCCCTGATGAAGGCACTAGACAGGAGTGTCGAAACGTTGGGTCTATGAATCGTAACTTCTTCAGTAGCATTCATTAAATCTGCAAACCAGAGTAGCATCAAACTATGTCTGATTGTTTCTTCATCTTTCCTATCGAGTGTCAGTGTGCGCCTGTCTCTAAGGCACATCAAGTCAGCAATCGAAACCTTCGTTCCTTTTGATACGAAAGAGAATCAGCACATGGAAACTTTTTGCCTTTACTTACTTTGCTTTCCCTTTCCACCCAGGGATGTTGGTTGCTCCCGACGTGTGGCTCTCGTTCATGATAAAGCAACTCCCTCAAGATCAGAAAGATCAATCAAACTTAGTTATCTATGGATGTCTTGCTGTTGTATCTCTCATGTTTATATTGACAAGAACATATGTATTACTCTCCTGCTTTTTGCAATGCTCTGAGCGTCTTCATGACAAGATGGTCGTTGCCACTTTACAAGCTCCTGTTTTATTCTTTGATTCAAATTCCGTGGGAAGAATCCTTAATCGATTTTCCAAAGATATCGGTTGGTTGGACGAGCAGTTACCGAGGACATTTCAACTAGCGATCGACTCAACCTTAAATGTGCTTGCATCACTAATTGTCCCGACTGTTACGAATCCTTGGCTTATTTTCATACTTATGCCATTGATTGTGGTTGCTATACACCTGTCCACGTATTATTTGAAGACATCCCGGGAAATTAAGAGGTTAGCGTCTATAAGTCGTAGTCCAGTGTTCTCTCACATTTCGGAGACTCTTGATGGACTGGAGACGATTCGAACCAGAGGGCGACAAAGTGATTTTGTGGATCAGTTTTACAGGTGGTTTGCCTCGTCTTAAATTTATCCAACTTGCATTTTGGCTTAGTACAATGGATTTTTCAGAAATGAACTACTTAATTTGTAGAAATAAAAGAAAGACGTCATATCGTCATTTCCATAAATAGTTACTGCAAAGCAATGTATTTCCCTCTGAACAAAACGGGTACCCGACATCTTAGGCTCGATTTCCGCCGATCTCTAGTGTCTGATCCTCGCTCCTTCCCAAAAAGAGACGAGAAGTTGGTAAAGAGCCTACCGTCAACTCAAACAGAAGTTTTTTCCAAATGCCCTGTAAGTTCAAATTATCAAAAAGCAGTGAATAACCCACTAATTTTCACCTATTCACTTGCTTTCTTAAAGACATCATGATGTTCTGAATCAAGCAAACATCTTGGTAATGGCCGGTGGGAAATGGATCAGTGTGCGATTTGAAATTCTTGCATCACTATTTGTTAGTGCAGTGGCTTTTTCAGCTGTTATTATGTCTCAAGAAGCCGGTGAGTATGTATTAAAAAAAAAAAACATCCCTAATTCGAATGAGTGATCATCAGAATTAAGGTGATCAGTTAAAAGTATGGTATAATGCACTCTCTTAGAACTGAGGAAAATCAGGGATTAATATTGTGCATAATCCTAAGTAGTAGTGGTCAATCGATTTGCAAAGTGGATTAAGTACTTTATTACATCCATTTTTGAAATTAATGGTGATCCTTACAATCTGATTGGCTCTCATCGGTGCGATTTTATCGCACCCATTTTTTGCTCTACATCGCATCTTTTCCCCAACAAACAGGTCTTCATGATGCCAGTTGCATGCAATTGCAATAGTCCGCACAAATGAATCTTCTCAGGTAAACCCCCTGTATTGCCTTGTTTTACTTTCCACGGCAAGGGCGTGACAGGATTACTTTTTTGACTGTTCAGTGTGAAAAATCAGTTAAAATCTTATTTGCTTAATTCATTGTTTCAATTTTTCGTCTAATTAGCTTTTGCTGGACTTGCCTTGGCTTACGTTGTCAAAAGACTTGGGCGGTGTCATCACGCCATCCGAACAACCTCAGAGGTTGAGAATCTAATGACGTCAGTTGAACGAGTTTTTGCTTATACCAAGCTTGAGTGTGAGCCTGGATATATGATAGAACGACGACCCCCGGAAAACTGGCCAAATAAAGGAAATATCACATTCAAAGAAGTATCGCTGAGATACTATCCGGGAGGACCGCAAGTGTTGAAGAATATCAAACTCAATATCAAAGGAGGAGCAAAGATCGGTGTTGCTGGCCGGACGGGTGCTGGAAAGTCATCTTTTGTGGCAGCTCTAATGCGCATGCCTGAGTCGTGTGGTGAAGTAATCATTGATGGTATTCCAATAAAGGCAATCAACCTCCAGGAAACTCGACGATGTGTATTTGTTCTTGGCCAAAGTCCAGTACTGTTCAGTGGATCACTGAGGAAAAATCTCGATCTTACTGAGCAGTTTACCGATGCAGATTTATGGCAAGTTCTACAAGATGTGCAACTTAAAGAATCAGTGAAAAGTCTTCACGGGCAACTTGATCATGAACTGTTGGAAAATGGTGCAAATATCAGTGTTGGAGAACGACAGCTGATCTGTTTGGCTCGTGTGCTGTTGCAGCGAAACAAGATCATCTTCTTGGATGAGCCCACTGCAAACGTAGATCCAGAAACAGAGAAAACAATCTTGGGCGTAGTGCGTGAAAAACTGAGAGACTCTACGGTCATCACTATAGCTCATCGATTGAACACCATCAAAGACTGTGATAAAATTTTACTTTTGAAACATGGAACGGTAGCGGAGTTCGACAATTTTGACACTATGGTGAACACAGAGGAATATGAGTTGGATGAAATGGCGCGAATTGCAGGTTCCAAAACAACGTAACTTCAAATCGCCTATGAACTTTTTCTCAGCCGCATTCTGTAATTCCTATTGTTAACTATCTTTTGTAAGCACACTTTGTTCACTATACACCAAACTTTATTTATTACGGGGAAGACCTTTAGCTGGTATTTATATTTTAATTACTTGTGGCTCATGCCACTTTATCATAAGTTCTCCTAACTGTTATTTACATTTGTATCAAGAGGATCGCTGTTTAAGTATACTAGTCGACTAGTATCCTCATGAGAACTCATAATTTTTTCTTTGTTCCACGCTCGTGACAAGTCGAAACACATCTTTCTCTATTTCTTTACCGAGCTTAAAACTTACCATCTCTCTTATTCTATTTACAAACATGAAGCTAACGACATCGCTGATCCTAGCAGTATGCAGGAAGCGTGTCATTTATGAACTTCGTAATGGGCTTTGCTCACCATAGAGTCCATGCGACTCAGTATTACAGCATCGGAGTGTGGAATACGAAGGTCTGTAGTTCGATTCCTAATTGGGACTCAGAATTTTTTCTTTGTCCCACGCTCGTGACAAGTCGAAAAACATCTTTCTCCACTTGTCGACTAGTATCAAGCAGCTGTGTAGTAGCAGCTGAAATATTCCTTTAGAAATTTTCTTGTCCTCATTGAATTATTTTCCTTATCGTGTTTTATGGGCATTAAAAATATAGGGCTTTCTGTAGTTTACGATAACGATCTCGACCTAGAATTTCGTCAGAATAAACTACTTGGAGAATCAAGTGCAGTTTTGGTGTGACTGACAATCATTTTTGAACGTAGATTACGGCCGAAAAGTAAGTTCTTGATAATGTTGGAGCTTGTGTTACACAGGTCCACAGGATTCGCTGCTATTTATCTCCAGAGACGACACGCCAGGAGGATAGAGAATTATATAACTGTAATCTTGGCACGACATGGCAAAGATAATGTTCGTTCTACCTGCTAATGGATCATGTCATGTGTAGGAGTGCAAAAAGTGCGAAGAATTAATCCTTAGGAGGCAAATTTACTTAACCTTCCCTCGTCGGCCAGAGAAGGCATAGGTCCTAATAACTTGGAAACTTTTTTTGAAATCAACATGACCAACACTTCATTCATTTTGTCTCGTTCTCATAGAATCACTTGATCGTAATAAGGCAATGAAAATGAAAAAGGTCTACACTTTAAATGCAGTTGGAAAAACGCGAAGAAGGCTTCAAGTGGAAGAGCGAAGGCAGCAAGCAACGCTATATATTTTTTTTTCATAAGGTGGTGAATGCTCAATTGGGTAAGAATAATCGAACAACATGGAAAATTTCACGACCATAAGTTAAACATTGGAATGTAGCCCCCATTTCAACTCTTGCACCGGCTGAAGCGAGCGTAGGAGAGCATAGTATTGTGATGTTAATCAAATCCATATTCCAAACGCACGAAATCTTTCACAAGTCAAAAGGTGAACTCCTCGACACCACAATCTCGCTATCACGTTTTTTGTGCCAAAATAGTTTATAGTCTAGTCATTTCCACCCGTTATAGACCTTGTAATCCAGACTGCCTCCATTTACGGCTTAAGGCACAAACTTGAGTCGCTTTTCCTCTATCTTTTTATAATCGTCATCAACTTCAATTGCACAACTGGACATGCGCGTTCAACGTCTATTCTACCGTGCAGAAAACATAAATGTAATCTAGAGGAAAACGGCTCTGAACAACCGGCGGCTTTAATTTTCGCATGAACCTACTTCCTCCACAGGGGGGCCTGAAAACGAAAAAAATTAATATAATTCAAAATGTTTCAAAAACGCAGGAAAAGACACTACGAGAAGAAAGAGTATGCCTTCTGTTCTATAATCGAGCAAATTAATTAAATTCAGCCACAATTGGTTAAAATTTTCAAGAGACTTCTAGAAGTCAATCGCCACATCCTGACATCTTTTCCCTTTAAAACCCATCGGGCAAGCGCAATGGGGACCTGCGTGTGGGTCTTTCTCCGGGCCTTGAAACGTGTCCCACCACTGAGGCAATAAGTGTCCCTGAGTGGCGGTTCACATTCAGCAATTAAAAAAAAATGATAAAGACAAGGGACCTTTCCGAATTAAATTAATGTGGAAGAGATGAAGCTTAGCTTGAACAACTCTTTTTGATTTCGAATCACTTTCTTATAGTGTGCGTCTTCTTCTTCTCTCGATATCATCGTTCAGCTAATTAGGATAGCAGTGAAAAGTCTCAATATCAAAAATATAGAAACATTTATTGTAGCAGTGTACGATCTACGGCACATTTTACAACAAAAACCATTTTTTTCTCTAAGGGGCCAAATTACCGTTGGTCATTGAGGTGCCCGCAAGAAAGAGAGTTGAACGCTGTGAGATAGATAATATCTGAGAATCTTATAGGAGGTCCATGTAAAAACAAAAAAAAAAAGAAAGAATTAATTAAATCAAATAGAAAGAAACGTTTGCGCGTTTTTTCTTCCAACATACCACTGAAAATTATAGTGATGGATTTGCTAAAAGGAAAATGCTTCTTAGTGCCAATGCTACAAATAACCTTAAAACACCATTGAACAACTATAGTTTCTTCGAGTCGTTTCAATCAGAGATAGCTTCAAACGGTAATGTATTTATAGATATAGACCTAGAAAGTGATTACCATGGTATTTTCCGACCAGCCGGCGCTGCAGAAGGACGATATGTTATTTCAAGGTTTGTTTTGTGGGTACCAAAGATGTTATTCAATTAAAGGTGAGAACTTATTCCTTGAAAAGTATTTGAAAACACACACATGGCCCTGTCTGAAAGAGAGAATAGAGATCGCAGTAACATGACAACAAAACGTAACATTCAAAATAACTTCTAGCGTTAAGAAAGCCAAGACACGTTTTAGTCTGGTGTTTGAACCTTGAAAAACAATTATCGAAAGCTCAAATTTCAGCTGATCGATGGCATTTATTATCCAATAGAACAATCTCGATGAATCGTCGATGGCAAATTATCCGAATTTAGCTAAGACTTATAGAACTCTTATGCAATTTTCCCGTGCTTTCAATGACCTATCTGACACACCCGACAATCGATATTGATTTGTTTCAGAATCCATACGGTGTCCACTATTTTGAGTTATAAAACCAAGAAGAAGAATTGAAGTCGGACTCTACGAAAATTGAATTGAAATACAAATTATCTAGTACACCTTATGCAGAGTACAATATGTTTGCCTTGATCCTACATGAGGAAAGAAATCAGTGTAGATGTAATGTCAGGAAAGTTTGTTCTGAAAGCTTTAACAAATAATGATTAAAATATTGTCAATGCTTTTGTAAATTGAATAGATTTCATAATAATCCAAACTATCAGGAGATGAACTTTATTCGTTTGTCTCACGATGAAGTCACTTTGGATGTTGATCACGACGTTTTGACTGCAATATTACTTGTCTTCATCAGGCAATGGGGTCGATTGTTTACGTGTCGCTATTTGTAGCACGATGGTTCCCTGCTATTGGTGCATTTCGATCTGCATTATTATTCCTGTTGTTGGATGATGTTCCCTCTTAGGTCCTCATTGACCGGCTGTTGTGTTGTTTGATCGTGGGTATCCAAGCGTCGGGAAATTCGATTCTACTCTCCCTATTGATGTTGTTGGGATTGTTATAATAACAATTACCTTTCCAGGTAAACAAATGAATAAATTTATTCTCACCCAGTTTGAATGTAGAATCCAAGATCTAATTAACTTACTGGGCCCAGTTGCACAAAGGGCGGATAACACTATCCAACGGATAAATGGCTATCTAGCGGATAAGTAATGGCAAAACGCAGAACGTTATTCACCAGATAGAGATTTATCCAGTGGATAGCGATATCCGATCTTCGAACAACCGGGGTCTGATGAATAGAAAAAAGCTCGATGTGTTTTTCCTGTTTCTGTCATTTTAAATATCCCAATCATGCCATCACTTCAGTTGATTTTTTTATGATGTGTACTTGTTCTTATGGACAGCTATTTTTAGTGTCTATCTTTAACCAGCTGACATGTTATAAGAATCAAGTCCACACTGGCAATTTGACACACTGCAGGCAAACCTTACGAGTGATAAACCCTTTAACTCCCGGCCATGAGTGACCAAGACAGAATTTCTCCCTACAATATGAACACAATTTCAACCAGATAAATAATGAGAATAAAGACAAATATCAATTTGAGGATAGTTGATCCAATACTAAATTCTCAGAACTAGAATGATAAGAATTGTATCAGTGGTTGACAGTAAGGAGAATTACTTGATTGCGGTAAGTGCAAGTGCCTTGTAAACATCATTCTATGGTCTTCTTCTCTTCCACCCTTGAGGTTGCCTTGTGTAAAAAAAAAAATCTTTTTTAAAAAACCTCTACAATGGTAGGTACACACAACTGACATGTATGAGTGAAGCATGTCAAGCATTAATTGCGCCTGTCCTTTCTATTCCGAGAGAATCAGAAACATTTCAGTACTCGGCAGCAACTACTTTTAATAAGCTCCCTGTAGCTAGTAGAAACATAACTGAGTACAATTTCTTCTGTTGTAGTGTGAAAAGACAGCTTTTATGTAAGGAACTTTAAGTAACAAACACAATTGTAAATTTTTTACATTTTTTTATTTTAATTTATCTGTATATTCTTTTTTAGAGTTGATTCATAGTGTAGATATTGTAGATGAAGAAAAAAACAAAACAGGGGAATAAAAATTAAAGATTCAGGAGAAGCACGTTATTTTAACTAGTTCACTGATGTTCTCATCTGAATTCAATCTGGAAAGAGAACTCTGCAACACCTCTGTTTTATCTTGAATTAAAACATAAAATTTAATCATTTGCAGGCAGGTTAAGGAGGAAATTAAAGGAATGGATACATGTTACATAAAAAGAAACCCCTTACAATAAAATAAAGCAGAAGCATATTACGTACATGTCTATACTTCTGCAGCTATAATAGGTTTTTTTTAAAGTAATTATCTACATATTTAAACT